GCAGTGTGGGCAGTCTTGAGGGACTGAGCCCTATAGCTATGGAGTCTGATACTATGGGTATTTGGTTCAGAATTAAATTGAAGTTTTGGACTTCAATTCTTGAGTCAAGGACTCCAGAATCTCACAGATGTAATTCCCTACCATCATTTAAAGGTGACCAATGAGGGTTGATTTGTTTTTTGATTTATTGTAACTTATGATTTAGAAATATTTGTGGGTTAATCTATGGCAGTTATTCTTTTTTTAAGACCTATTATTTATTTGAAAGTCAGAGAGAGAGATGGAGGGAGGGAGGAAGAGAGGAAAAATTAGATAGATGGGAAAGAGAGAATATTCCATCTGCTCACTCCCCATATGGTCGCAATTGCCAGTGCTGGGCCAGGCCAAAGCCAGGAGTCAGGAGGTTCATCCAGGTCTCCCACATGGGTGGAAGGGGCCCAAACTTGGGCCATCTTCCATTGCTTTCCCCAGGCCATTAGCAGGTAGCTGGATCAGAAGTGGAGCAGCCCAGGCATGAACAGGAGTCCATATGGGATGCTGGCATCACAGGTGATGGCTTTACCTACTGTGCCAGAGCACTTGCCCCCTGCCACTGCCCTAGGCAGTTATTCTTAGTAGTGTTCATTCAAATCTCACAGATCTTTAGCTGTTCAAGTTGACACCCGAATCCTTTTGATTTGACACTAATTGTTCTTGATAATTAGAAGAAAACTTTTTTTTTTTTTGGACAGGCAGAGTTAGTGAGAGAGAGACAGAGAGAAAGGTCTTCCTTTATCCCTTGGTTCACCCGCCAAGTGGCCGCTACGGCCGGTGCACTGCGCTGATCCAAAGCCAGGAGCCAGGTGCCTCCTCCTGGTCTCCCATGCAGGTGCAGGGCCCAAGGACCTGGGCCATCCTCCACTGCCTTCCTGGGCCACAGCAGAGAGCTGGACTGGAAGAGGAGCAACCAGGACAGAATCTGGCGCCCCAACCAGGACTAGAACCCGGGGTGCCGGCGCTGCAGGCAGAGGATTAGCCTAGTGAGCTGCAGTGTCAGCCAGAAGAAAACTTTTAATACTCATCAGTAACATTTTACCTGTGAAATCAAAGGAAATGATCATTTTGTCTACTCCTGTACAAGAAGGTCCCTATGCTATCTAAATGAATGGGAGCACACAAGTCGAGTCTCTAGCATTTTATCATTCTTCACATTTTCATAATGTTGCCCTTAACATTTTTATGGTAATTTGACCCAGTAAAAAATTCTTAGAGTGGGTCAGCAGCTATACCTAATATATGTGTTTAAGGCACATGCAAGAAAGAAACAATTAAGAGAAATACATACTAGAGACATGAGCACATTCAGTCAAATCTAGGAACAGAACATAGCACTAGAATTATTACTCTTTGAGGTTTAATACTTATTATTACAAATAAAATTTTATTTAATATTAACAGACATTGTTATTGTAGTTTATTAAGGCTAGATGTTTTCACTTAACTAGATTAAATTTGAAGGACCTAGTGGCCTGACTAAAGTAATATAAGCTGTGCGTGTTTGTGAGGCTATTTAAGTTTCCTCTAGGAAGTGTTCTGGGGAAAGGATTTATCTTGATTACATACATACTGTTTGGCCTGGAATTTAAAGTACAGAAAAGGCTGAGACTATAGACTGCATGTATTCATTACTCATGTTCAAAGATTCTTTGTGGGATTAATTAATAGCAATAAAAGTATCTATTACCCTGAAAATATAGCAGTCCCCCCCTTAACCACAGTTCCAGTTACTCAGAGGCAACCATAGTCTGAAAATATTACATGGAAAATTCCAGAAATAATAAATTCATTACTTTAAAAAATTTTATTATAGGATATTTTTATAATTTTTATATTTCATTACTGTTATTAATTTCTTACTGTGTCCAATTTATGAATTAAATGTTACTGTAGGTAAGTACATACAGGAAAAATCTTTGTGGGGCTCACTACTATCCAAAGTTTCAGACAACCACAGGGGGTCTCAAATCACATCTCCTGCAGACAAGCAGGAGCTATTAATAAAAACACACTTCATTTAGTAGAGGATATGATAAAGTTTGGACCCAGACGATGTTTGTGACAAGAGAAAAATCCATCTTCTGTGGCAAACAGAAAATAGACTTTACTTTCTTGTGTTTTTTAGAAAATCACCGTTTCTAACATAGGTCTCCTTTTTTCAGACAATAATTTCAGTTAGTGAACCCAAAGTTTTCCTCTGTTTCATGTCATTATTTTTTACTAAAGCTGAGCAAAAATATACTACATATCCCCTAAATTTTTATGTGGCACTTTATATTCTATTATTTACCAACATAGTTCTCAGGGACTAGAGACCAATTTCACTCTTCACAATGTTTATGTAACACAGAACAAGCTGAAACCTTGGAATAAAACTTTTGGTTACAATTATCCAATAAATTCAGAAAATCTTTTATGACAGAATTCCTTACTGTTAGAAGAGACACAACCTAGTGTGAAGAAATGACTAAGACATATATAATTTGAATCTAATGATAGTGCTTAATCAAATCTGTTACCTTAGTTAAGTGCTTATTTGTTGGAGTATTTTCTTCTGTGCAAAGACTCAGACAATGGAACCTACTATCACAGTACTCTTGATTGAGATGAGACTAAATGAGATGCCATAAATAAAGTTGGCAAAATTAAATGCTTAGGAAGTATTGTTAGGTCTCTTTCCCTTATGACACCAGTGCCTCAATACTAATATTAGGTTGGTCACATTATTGGTTCCATTTGTTATTTATTGAGTGCCCAACACATGTTGGATACTGAAATACAAGAGGGAGAATAATACAAGCCATAGGAAATGCCCCTCTCACCCCTGTCTCCCTGGGTCTTGTGAGGTTGTTAGTATGACCATACACCTACAGTAACTTTAATTTACTGCAGAAATTTGGGCTGGGCCTCTACAGCTATTTTAACTTTTAACTTTTACTGTACTATTATAAAGTCCCCAAATAAAACCTTTAGAGACAGGGAGTTACATTTAAAATCTTCTAATTTCTTAGGAAGTCTTCTGGCTTCTTCACTGTTGGACATCCAGACTTGATGTCTGAAAGGATCTGTGTTCCTCTATAAGCCATGTTTATTGAACCCAAAAAATTACTAACAAAGTTGGGAAATGTTAGGAAATTGAGACTCCAGTTATTCTCACTATATGATATTGTCTACTAATTATAAATGATACTACCCAGGAACCAGTAGCACCTTCTGAAGTGTTTTGCTCATGTTGATTTAGTTTTAACTACAGTTACCACAAACAGGTACTCTGATTCTCCCCCATTTCATGGAAAAGGAAAGTGATTTTTAAAGTGTCTAAGTAAAGCAGCTTGCTTCTAGTCATATCAATCTAGAGGGCTAAGATTTCAACCCACACAATCCAAAGCCAGGAGCCAGGAGCTTCTTTCAGGTCTCCCACACAAGTGCAGGGGCCCAAGGACTTGGGCCATCTTCTACTGCTTTCCTAGGCCATAGCAGAGGCTGGACTGGAAGTGGAGCAGCCTGGACTCGAACCGGGGCCCATATGGGATTCTGGCATGCAGACAGTGGCTTTACTTACTATGCCACAGCGCCAGCCCCAAAACTTCTGTTCTTAACCCCTTCCTCTATGGTTACATGTCTAACTCTGAACGTGATCATTATAAGCAGAGGAGTAAGAACCTAAAAAATTCATGAAGTTACTGGAAACCAAGATCCTAATACTTATTTTATCTGTTACTCAACCTTTTTCATCACCCACATGCACATTTTTTCTTTCTCTTAGTTAATGTAATGGACAGGATGTTTATCCCCCTCAAAACTCACATGTGGAAGCCTAATCCCCAATGTGAAGGTATTTGGAAGGTAATTAGATCGTGAAGGTGGAGACCTCATGAATTGGATTCATGCTCTTATAAAAGAGACTCCTGGAACAGATGTTTGGATCCATGGTTAAGATGCTTCTTGGGATACCCATATCTCATATTGGAATACTTGGGTTCAAGTTCTAGCTATACTCCTCATTCCAACTTCCTACATAAGTGCATCCTGGGAGATAGCAGGTAAGAACTCAAGTAGTTGGTTCCCTGCCACCCACATGGTAAACTTGGACTGAGTTCCTGCCTCTTGGCTCATACTGTTATAATAGAACTATATGCACTCATATAGATATGCTTCTGTGTTAACTGTTTTCTTAAAAATTTGATTATTCTATAAACATTAAAAAAGATTTTTTTTCATAAAGTGTGGAGAAGGGAACTAAAATGATGATTTATTTTCATAGTGTGTGTTTGCAAATTAAAATGGCCTTGGGGCCGGCACTGTGGCTTAGCAGGTAAAGCCGCTGCCTGCAGTGCTGGCATCCCATATGGGCGCTAGTTTGGGTCCCGGCTGCTCCACTTCCGATCCACCTCTCTGCTGTGACCTGGGAAAGAAGCAGAGAATGGCCCAGGTCCTTGGGTCTCTGCACCTCGCGGGAGACCCAGAGAAGGCTCCTGGCTCCTTGCTTCGTATTGGAACAGCTCCTGCCGTTGCGGCCAACTAGGGAGTGTACCAGCGGATAGAGGACCTCTCTCTCTTTCTCTCTCTCTCTCTCTCTCTCTCTCTCTCTCTCTGCCTCTCCTTCTCTCTCTGTATCTCTGACTTTCAAGGAAATATTTTTTTAAAAATGGCTTTAATTTAAGGCAAACTCTGCAAATTCTCTATATATTTCAGATATTTCCAGATATTGCCATCATATTTTGACAAAAAATATCTTGGAATACCAAAGCATGCCTGGGCTTGATTTTACCACTAAATATAAAAATCCCAGTGTTGTAGGATTTCAAAGGAACCTAGCTTTCTTCCAAGCTAAGACAATCCTGTTGAAAAATGATGTTCTGAAGATGACAGATATCTTGATGTCCTAAAACTGGCCTTAGAAGTTGAAAATCTGCTTTTAAAATTTCAGGAAAATCATGTGATAATCATTAGTAATCACTCACCTTTGGACCTGGTAATCCAGGTAGCCCAGGATTTCCATGTGGCCCTGGTATACCCTACAAATAGTGAAAAAGTCAGCTTATTCTTAGAAGAGACACAAATAGAAATACAAGTATTTTAACATTCAAATCAATATTTAAAAATGTAATTTCATTAAAACAAATGCTATAATTTTTAAAAAGCTCTTTATTTTTTTTGTGATCTTAGCTATTTTAATTTTGGAAATAATAGCTACCACTAATTATACAGCAGAACTGTGGTTTCCATCTTTTGCTTCAAAACACTGTCTCAAAGTGTTTACTTCCTTTACTTATCACTTCTCTCTGTAGCCACAGCATACTGCTCAGTGCTACTTCTAAAAGCTGTATAGAGGAAAAGTCTAAAAATAACAAGTGCAATTGTTTAGTTTCTCTTCTCTCAACATGTATTGTCTCTTCATGGATGTGAGTTTTGCTTATGCTATTGTATACACCTTAAAGATTTCATTTACTTTGCCCCCTACACCAACCCAAATCATCCTTCAAATCTCATACACGATATCTCATATATGATGTCCTACCATATTTTTGAAACCTGCCATACCATCAAGAACTAATTTGTTTCTCCTATTTCCATATAATAACTGCATGTAAAATGCATTTGTCAATTATATATTGCATCAGAACATTTCTTATACTTCTCTAATAAGTTGCTTAAATATCTCATTGCTATTTTACCTATTAATGACACATTTATTTAGTCTAAGATTATAAACTATTTGAAAAGAAACTTTTTTTTGTTTTACTAATGTAGTGCTTAGCACATATTACCCACTTTGCAAATTGATTCTATTTGCAAAGTACCTACAATGTAACAGAAACTACATTTTTTAAAATATTTCTCATTACTAATCCCTATAACAATCCTGCCAGCTGGTTATTTTTAGTCCCACTTATGAACAGGGATGTTTAAGACCTCTTGGGCCATCTTCGCTTTCTCAGGCACATTAGCAGAGTGCTGGATCAGAAATGGAGCAGCCAGGTCATGAACTAGTACCCATATGAGATGCTAGCATCACAGGCAGCAGCTTTACCAGCTATACTTCCACGCTGTCCTCAATAAAGTTATCTTTTAAGTCAATGTTTTCATGGATTTTTTGATTGACGTATCCCCCCACCTATGTGTTCTTCACTTAAACCTTCATCTTAACCGATAACACATAGTTAATAATTATCTATTTATCTCTCCAATTCTGAATTAGTGAAGCAGAGTATGTCAGAAATACATGGATGCCAGCAATGCATATATTGAAAATATCTTTAGCAATATGAATACTAAAGAAAAACAGTTAAATTTCATGGCATGTCATTGGTAACATTTTAAAATTAATTTTAATAAAGTAGATGCAAAAAATTATAGAGATTAGGGGCCGGCACTGTGGCACAGTGGCTTAATCTTCCACTTGCAGTGCTGGAATCCCATATGGGTGCAGGTTCTAGTCCCAGCTGCTCCTCTTTCTGTCCAGCTCTCTGCTATGGCCTGGGAAAGCAGTAGAAGGTGCCCAAGTCCTTGGGCACCTGTATCCATGTGAGAGACCCAGAGGAAGCTTCTGGCTCCTGGCTTCGGATTGGCTCAGCTCCAGCCATTGTGGCCATTTGGAGAGTGAACCAATGGAGGGAAGACCTTTCTCTCTCTCTCCCTCTCACTGTCTGTAACTCTACCTCTCAAATAAATAAATAAAATCTTTTTAAAAAAGTTATGGAGATTAGTAAATCAGCTGTTGATACAGAAGTAAGGGCCTTAGGTATGAAGTGTTATTCATTAAAGCTCAGTAGTACAACAGCAAGCCAGGAAAACATCTCCAGGAATAATGAATATTAATCAACATTTACAATTTGAAGTGTGATAACTTCTTGTTGCCAACCAGGATGAAACTTTGAGGGCGGGGGATATGGAATTGAGCTTCTAAAGTAGATAACTGATTGAAGGGATGAAATTAGGAACACAAGTGACATGGTTAGTCTTGAGAATACTACTATTTTTTCCATAAAGAAAGAATTGAACAAATGAAAATCGGGGGGAGGGTACAGGTGCAGGAGAGAATAAGCAAAGGAAACAGCTCTATCATGAGAATAGATGGAGATTTAGAATGGATGCTGTTGGGATAACAGCCTTAGCAGGGGACAGGGAACAGAATTAGTGCTATATGGATTTAGCCCCTCAAAAAAGAGCATCTAAGTTTTCTCAGAGAGGCAGAAGGGTGGGAATGGTGTGAATACTAGGTGATAATGGGCAAAGTTTAGAAACAATAGCTGTAGGGAGCCCAGAGGAAATTCTTCATGGACTTCAAATGGTTGAAAGTTTGATATGAAAATGAACAACTTTAAGCAGTAATTTTGCTTTATATTATTTGTGTGATAAAAATCAGGACAAAAAGAAAGTGGATTGTATGAAGGATATTTCATTTGTCTTTATAACACAATCCTCTTTTTCTAGTTCACTCAATAAAGATTTTGTAAAAATCCACATTTGTTTTTAGATTTGAAAGAAACTAATTCCTCATAGCAATAAATCTTTTGTTGGACTTGTGTGAGAAACTACTGCTGATCCTGAAGGTAGCTTTTCCCCTCAGGGCAAGTTGTTTTATAGTCAATAGCTCCAGTATTTTCCATTATGTAATCCAGAAATGCATTACTCTAATGCAGCCCAATCCTCTTCATTTTCCAAATGAACCTCATGTTGGACTATTGAGATCTCTTAAAAACAATGAATAATGTTACAAGTAGCACCAGAACAGTCACTAATCTACAAGTTTGATGATCTTTCTTGAACGTGTTCCCAGAGAATGCTTTGGCTGTGTGTATGCACTCATATAAACAAGGCTACACTTATTTTTAAGCTCCTCATGAATTGGCAAAGGTTGGGCCAAGTGTGAAGATCCAGGCAGCTTTCCAAAGGAAGAACACATTTTACAACTAGAAAAAACATACCAGAAAGTTACTAATTCTAACAGCAGGAAATAGGTCTACTTACCCGTGGACCTCTCTTTCCTGATGGACCAGGAATACCTGTGGGACCAGGAGGACCCTTGGAAAACAAATGACAAGACATTAGGCTTGATAGTAGATACACCATTTCTCAAAAGCCTTAATACAATTTCCAGCCCAGGACAACTCTTTCAGGACCCAGCTCCCAGCTGATGATGATTTTAAAGTAACAGGAATCCCCTTACCCTAATCAGTAGGGATTACTTGAAACAAGAGTCCTCTTTAATCTGGCCAGAAATGACAGCAAGAAGGTAATGACTTATGGCTATAGCCACTGTATCTGTTTTTACAGAGACTGTAACCAGTAGTTTTGTGGGTAATTTTTTACCTAAATTTACTTTTACTACTGAAGGAGGAATTCATTTTAGGATTTGGAGACCAACTGTAGGTTTTTTTTTTTTTTCAAATACATTTGCAATGAGGATTTGACTTGAAAAGTGAGTGTTCTTTTAGAACAGTTACACCAAGGATCTTTGTAATGTGTTAAACTGTTAGAGTGGGGTCCTTCTTATATATCCTACAGTCATTCTGTTTTATTCCAAATGCAGCACTCCAGGTCACTCATAGGTACTTGGTTTATCAAACAAAATATGAAAGCAAACACTGATCAACTGCTCAAGTGTTCTCAGTTGTTTAAATGTTACTTTTTGAATATATCAAGTAAGAAACTGCTTCTTTACTTCCTCATATAATGTTTTATGCTGTCTTTATTTACTTTAATTGTGGAAGAATAAGTACAAATTTGTGATTATTACCCAAATGTTTAAGTAAAAGTTTAAAATACAAGCACTAGCCTCATCATTAACAAGTAGTATAACCTAATTGTAAAGGCTATTATGGAACTGCCAATGTGACCACTTTTTAGCCTGAGTTTCAAAGGAGAAGGGGAATTGATTGGTTTGAAAGTGTCATTCTATTAAAAAACACAAGATAGGAGCCGGCGCCGCGGCTCAATAGGCTAATCCTCCGCCTAGCGGCGCCGGCACACTGGGTTCTAGTCCCGGTCGGGGCACCGGATTCTGTCCCGGTTGCCCCTCTTCCAGGCCAGCTCTCTGCTGTGGCCCGGGTGTGCAGTGAAGGATGGCCGAAGTCCTTGGGCCCTGCACCCCATGGGAGACCAGGAGAAGCACCTAGCTCTTGCCTTCAGATCAGCGTGGTGCGCAGGCCACAGCGTGCCAGCCATGGCGGCCATTGGAGGGTGAACCAATGGCAAAGGAAGACCTTTCTCTCTCTCTCTCTCTCTCACTGTAAACGAGTAAGTTAGTAGAAAATAATAGTATGTTTCTCATTCTTCTTAATATTAACTACTCAAAATATTCTCCCTATTGATAGCAGTCATTTGCAGTTTCATATATTTATATTTCAAATTGTCCTTATTTTACATTAATTGTGTTTTTCCTTCTCTTAACCCTCTAATGTGAAAATTCTCAAATCTTTCTAAATTTTGAGAGAGCAGTACTACAGTTGACCTTCTGTTTCTGAAGTTCTACATCTGTGGATTCAACCAACTGTGAATGAAAATACTCAGAAAAAAAAAGATTACTTTTGTGCTGAACCAGTACAGAATTTTTCTTACCATTATTTCCTAAACAACCTCTACTTATACCACATTTATATTGTATTAGGTAACCAAGAAATTGTTTAAAGTTTAGAAGAGGATGAACATAGATTGCATGCACATCCAACCCCTTGTTCAATCGTTCAAGCCTTCTCAGTTTTTTAAATTTTTTTTTTTTTAGACAGGCAGAGTGGACAATGAGAGAGAGAGAGAGACTGAGAGAAAGGTCTTCCTTTTTGCTGTTGGTTCACCCTCCAATGGCCGCCACGGCTGGCGCACTGCGGCCGGCACCTCACGCTGTTCCGAAGCCAGGAACCAGGTGCTTCTCCTGGTCTGCCATGCGGGTGCAGGGCCCAAGGACTTCGGCCATCCTCCACTGCACTCCCGGGCCATAGCAGAGAGCTGGCCTGGAAGAGGGGCAACTGGGACAGAATCCGGCGCCCGGACCGGGACTAGAACCCGGTGTGCCGGCGCCGCAGGCGGAGGATTAGCCTAGTGAGCCGCAGCGCCGGCCACATCCTTTCATAAAAAACAATTGAACATTGCAGATTTTGGTGTCTGGGGGAATCCTGGAACCAATCTCCCACAGACATTGTGGGATGATTTATCCTCTTCAACCCCAAACTAAGGCATTGTTCTTCTGAGTTGTTCATACACTTTGACAGCCACTATTATATCACCAGCTTCAATCAGACATTGACTGAAGATCTAATTAAGACCTGAAACTCTGAAACTACCAGAAAAAATATAGAGCACACAATTAAAGACTTTGGCAAAAGCAATGTGTGTATACATTTTTGGATAAGAACCCCAAAGCAGAGGCAATGAAACATAAATGGACAATTGGGATGATATCAAACTAAGAAGTCCTTGCACAGAAAAGGAAACAATTAACAGTGAAAAGATAACTTACAAAATGGGAGAAAATATTTGTAAACTATTCATCTGATAAGGAATTTATATCCAGAATATATAAGGAACTCAAAAAACTCAACAACAAAAATAATACAATTAAGAAATTGGCAAAGGATTTGAATAGTTCTCAAAAGAATACAAATGGCTTACAAATACATGAAAAAATGCTCAGTATCACTACCATCAGGGAAATGCAAATCAAAAACACAATGAGATATCATCTCACTTTAGATATAGAGAAGAGACTGAAGAGAAATCACACTAAAATATTAGAAATGAAGAATTCAATATGTCAAATATAAAATACAATAGAAAGCATCAACAATAGACTTGGTGAGAGAGAAGAAAAAAATATTGAAGCTAGAAGACAAATCCTTGGGAATATGGGAATATCTCAGAGAAAAAAAAGAATTGGACAAACTGAAGATAGTGTTCAGGATTTATGATTTATGGGATACTATCAAACAACCACATACACATCAGGAGTTCTTGAGGTCATGGAAAGAAAGAATGGATTAGAAGGCCTATTCAATGAAATAACAGCAGAAAACTTCATAATTTGGAGAAAGAAGCGATATCCAAGTACAGAAAGCACAAAGAACTCTAACTAGATGTGATTGGAAAAGATCTTCACCATCGCAAATTATAGTCAAACTTTCAACAACAAAACAAAGGAAAGACTCTAAAATGAAACACTAGATTAGCTCCAGAGGATCCCCAATTAAACTAACAGCTGATTTCTAATCAGAAACCCTATAAGCTTGGAGAGAATGGAGGGACACAGTCCAAGTCCTATAAAAAAGAAATTGTCAACTCAAAATACCCAGAACAGCTCTCATTTATTAATGAAGGTGAAATAAAGACACTCCAAATCAAATAGAAATTGAAAGAATGTGTCACCACTTGTCCAGCCTTACAAATGATTATTAAGGATGTGCTACACACAGAGAACAATAATCACCATTATGAAAGAATGTGAGGGCAGAAAATCTTCTAGTAAAAGTAAAAAGGGAATCCAAAGCAAACAAATAGGGATATGTATGAAGAATGATAGGACCAAACCATTACTTATCAATAATAACCTTAAAAGTCAATGACCTAAATCCTCCAATTAAAAGATACAGACTGGCTGAATGGATTAAAAAATAAGACCCATCTGGGGCCAGCACTGTAGTGTATCAGGTTAAGATGCCGCCTGCCACACCAACATCCCATATGGGCACAGGTTCAAGTCCTGGCTGCTCTACTTCCAATCCAGTTCCCTGCCAATGGCCTGGGAAAGCCGCAGAGCTTGGTTCAAGTGCTTGTGCCCTGAACCCATTTGGGGAACCTGGAAGAAAATCCTGGATCTTGGGGTCGGTGCCATGGCACAGTAGGTTTATCATCCACCTGCGGTGCCAGCAGCCCACATGGGCACTGGTTCTAGTCCCAGATGCCCCTCTTCCAATCCAGCTCTCTGCTATGGCCTGGGAAAGCAGTAGAAGATGGCCCAAGTCCTTGGGCACCTGCACTTACATGGGAGACTGGGAAGAAACACCTGGCTCCTCCTGGCTTCGGATCAGCACAGCTCCAGCCATTGCAGCCATTTGGGGAGTGAACCAATAGTCGGAAGACCTCTCTCTCTGTCTCTTCCTCTCACTCTCTGTAACTCTACCTCTCAAATAAATAAATAAAATCTTAAAAAAAAAAAAGGAAAAGAATATCCTGGATCTAGGTTTCAGTCTGGCCTAGCATTGAACATGTGGCCACTTGGGGAGTGAAGCAGTGGATGGAAGACTTCTATGTCTCTCTGCCTCTTCATCTTCCTCTCTCCCTCTCAGTAACTATGCCTGTTAAATAAATAAATAATTCTTTTAAAAAAAGACCAATCTATTTGCTGCCTACATGAAACACAGCTCACAAACAATGATACATGCACACTGAAAGGGAAAAGATGGAAAAAGATATTCCATGCTAACAGAAAACAAAAATGAGCAGATGTCACCACCCTAATTCAGACAAACTAAACTTTAATACAAAAAGCTTTTTTTTTTTTTTTTTTTGACAGGCAGAGTGGACAGTGAGAGAGAGAGACAGAGAGAAAGGTCTTCCTTTGCCATTGGTTCACCCTCCAATGGCCGCCGCAGCCAGCGAACTGCGGCCGGCGCACCGCGCTGATCCAATGGCAGGAGCCAGGTACTTATCCTGGTCTCCCATGGGGTGCAGGGCCCAAGGACTTGGGCCATCCTCCACTGCACTCCCGGGCCACAGCAGAGAGCTGGCCTGGAAGAGGGGTAACCGGGACAGAATCCGGCGCCCCGACCGGGACTAGAACCCAGTGTGCCGGCACCGCAAGGCGGAGGATTAGCCTAGTAAGCTGCGGCACCGGCTTTTAAGAGAGACAACGGCATATGTAATTGATTAAGAGATCAATTCAACAGGAACATGAGACTATAATAAATATGCACCCAATGCCAGGGAACCTGGCTAATTATTTAGAAAAGATGTTAATAGATCTAAAGGGAGATACAGACTCAATACAATAGTTATCCAGACATCAACACCCCACTTTCATCAGTGGGCAGATC